GACCGAGGGACCGAGGGACCGAGGGACCTGGTTAGATCTAAAATATATTTTTGCTGAATTCAAGAGTTTTGTGTGTTTTCTACGGTGGAGCCAAAAGTGGCTCGACCTCAAAACAAGCATTTTGTGAAGAATATACCAACCGCCGGAATTCCGGCGGTTGCTTTTTATACAAAGTTCAACGGGTGAAAGAATACGAAGAAGAAGTCTTGACAAAACAAGCATTTCGTGAAGAATATACCACCTGCCGGAATTCCGGCGGTTGCTTTTTATACAAAGTTCAACGGGTGAAAGAATACGATGAAGAAGTCTCAACAAAACAGGCATTTTGTGAAGAATATACCACCCCGCGGAATTCCGCGGGTTGCTTTTTATACAAAACATGTACGAAGAAGTCTCAACAAAACAAGCATTTCGTGAAGAATATACCACCCCGCGGAATTCCGGCGGGTGCTTTTTATACAAAACATATACGAAGAAGTCTCAACAAAACAAGCATTTCGTGAAGAATATACCAACCGCGGAATTCCGGCGGGTGCTTTTTATACAAAACATATACGAAGAAGTCTCAACAAAACAAGCATTTCGTGAAGAATATACCACCCCGCGGAATTCCGGCGGGTGCTTTTTATACAAAACATTTACGAAGAAGTCTATTTCCTGTGTTGTTGTCAAAATGTCATGTTGTCACCATTTTCAAAAAGATGTTAGTTGACCGAGGGACCGAGGGACCGAGGGACCTGGTTAGATCTAAAATATATTTTTGCTGAATTCAAGAGTTTTGTGTGTTTTCTACGGTGGAGCCAAAAGTGGCTCGACCTCAAAACAAGCATTTTGTGAAGAATATACCAACCGCCGGAATTCCGGCGGTTGCTTTTTATACAAAGTTCAACGGGTGAAAGAATACGAAGAAGAAGTCTTGACAAAACAAGCATTTCGTGAAGAATATACCACCTGCCGGAATTCCGGCGGGTGCTTTTTATACAAAACATTTACGAAGAAGTCTCAACAAAACAAGCATTTTGTGAAGAATATACCAACCCGCGGAATTCCGCGGGTTGCTTTTTATACAAAATTCAACGGGTGAAAGAATACGATGAAGTTTATTTCCTGTGTTGTTGTCTAAATGTCATGTTGTCACACTTTTTCAGAGAAGTTCGTTTAACCGAGTGACCGAGTGACCGAGTGACCTCTTCACCTAAAATATATTTTTCAATACTTTTTCAGCACTTTTCCGTAGTTGTATATGAAAGACAATTCGAGATAAAAGTCATAGTATAGTGGAATAATATGCTGCACACCGTTTGTTGTGAACCAAACTTGAAAGTCAGAGAAACTGTTACTAGGTGGTTCGTAGAATTTAGAAGCAAAGTCATAAAAGTCCTTACCAATACAAAGAAAACTGTTGTTGCTTGAACTGAAACTTGCATGACACATGACATTTTGAGGGTCGAACACGTTTCTATAAACTGTCAATCTGCTGGTGGGAGTATAAATTTAAATGGACCATCTGGTGGCAATGTTTGTTCGTTCTGGTTTAGTAACCGAAGAAATTGTGCCCAAGAACGTTTTGTCTACTCCCCAATATAAATAACTCTGTATCTCTTGGAGGGTTAATTTCAATCTTTTGAAATGAAACGGTGGAGTTCATCTTGTCGTATTCTAGCTTCAGATAGTATGTTCCATTTAGTAAAGATGGTATTTTTCTTGAAATTCCCAGTAGTATTTGTTTATTTGAGTTTGAAAGTCATTTAGAGTTTTTTCAAAGACTTTCGTCTGAAACGAATTGTAAAGATTTTCATTTCGTCAAATTTTCTATTAGACCGTCAGAAACCTTTATACTGACCATGAAAATATACTGCGAACATGAATGCATTAGTTTTCTATTTGAAAACAAAAACTCTTCTAAATCCTATTGCCTTTGCATCTGAAGGACTTTGAAGCCAACGAATTGGATAGTCAAACCTGTATATTCGGATGAAATTTCTTCATCTGATATATTCCTACCAGCGTTTGTAAAGATATAGTCTAACGGTTTTGTATCTGCTACTTTTGTTCTTTGTTTTTCAACCTGAAGCATTTAATATATGTAAAATATACTGTTTTAAAAACGTTTTAAAATGGTATGCCATATAGCTTCTTGAATTGGTTAAGAAGTATTTTAACGTATTTTCCATCTGTATCTCTAGCGTTTACATGAGCATGGCCTGCCTTAGTAAAATAATACTTGTAATTTCCTATAGTTTTACGCCGGTATAAAAGTAGAAGAGTCTTGTTCTTCGCTATAGTAGTAAAACTCAAACGTATGCTTACCATAGTCTGTAATTTCAATTGTTTCATCTTCTAGTTCGTCGACAAATTCAAATACAATATCTCCAAATTTGCCTATGTTCTTACTGTTTTCAGAACGAGTGACCCAACGTAAGTTCTCAAGTCTATTGTCGTTTCTTATACGGTTTATATGGTCTACAAAAGGTAAATTGTTAGGGTTCGGTATAAAATGAGTTGCAATGACAACATGTTTAAGATAGCGTTTCCCACCCATCTTCATAGTAGCATATCCGTTATTTCCCTCCCATTCGCTTAAAACTCTTTTTGTCTTTTTGTTTCTGACTTCAAATGACTCACAACAGTGAATTTCATATTTCTCATCTAACAAACAAGTTTCCCAACGGTCTTCTCCAACAAACTCAGCGTACATTTCAAATAAAATAAAAAAATGTTTTTTAAAAATATTTTGTTTTAAATGGTATGCCATTTCATATTTCTCATCTAACAAAACAAGTTTCCCAACGGTCTTCTCCAACAAACTCAGCGTACATTTCAAATAAAATAAAAAAATGTTTTTTTCTTTACTTTACATAAGCACTTGCTGCCATAAGTCTTTGACGCCAACCCATACCAGCTAATGAAGGTTGACTTGTTTTAGTCTCCAGACTAAACTTTGGTTTTGGTTTATCTTCAGTTTTTGGCTTCCCTTCTTCTATTGGTTTTTCGTCACTTTTCGGTTCATTTGACTTTACCTCACTTGCTGGTTCAGTTGTGTCGTCAACATCTTCATAAATATCATATGCCATTTGTTTTTGTTTTCCTTTCAACTTTTTGTGTTTGTTGTAAAGTTTAGAATATTTTGACTCTAAGTCAATGAGATGTTCTATAATGAACTGTTGGTCAGTGAAGTAAACTTTTCCATCTGTTGTCTCGAAAGCTCCTTCAGACTTCAATATTTTATTTGTGAGAGTCTGTTTCTTTTTTGAGATACTAGCCGTTCCATTTTTATGAAAAGTGACTTTGTAGTTAGAGTTTGTATTTCCAGACCTGGCACTTTCTATTATTGAATTTTTCTCTTCATCTGTAAGTTCTTTGACAGGTTTTGACAATGGTTCTGAACTTTTTGTTTGTGGTGTCAAATCTACCGTTTCAACTTCTTCGGTCATTTCATCTCAGTAAAAAATTTTAGTTTGGTTTGTTTTCAACTGGTTGTTGAGGTTTTTTAAGTCGGTCTAAAACTTCCTGAGGTATAGGAAGAACTTGACAAACACGTGGTTGTGTAACTGCTGGAAGCCGACAAAGCCATCTTGAACCCATTTGTCTCAATGTTGTATTGTTCATTTCATCTCAGTAAAAAAATTACATTCCCACGTTTGAGGTGGTTGAGGTTGGTTGTTGTTTACCCACTGTTGTGCATGGTTATATCCTCTGTTAAAGAATCTTTCACCTTGGTCCATATAGTGTCCTGCTTGGTTATAGTAGTCATTTGCTTTGTTATAGTAGTTTCCTGCTTGTTTTCCTACATTGTCCATCCATCCTTGAACTTTTCCTCTTGTTTCAGGATTTGGAATAAGATTTGCTGCATCTCGTGCTACCTCCCAACCTTTCTGTACAGTTTGTATAATAGGTTGTGCTTTCTCTTTCAGTATACCTAATGTACTCAAAATCTTCCTTCCAATTCCAAATGCACCTCTGGCTAGTGTTCCCACTGCGGGCAAAAATCTAGATGCGACTCCTGCTAATGCGCCAAATAAACCCATTTCTTATGGGTTAAAAATGACGAATTCAAACAAGGACCCGTATGTTTCTAAAGCGACAAAGAAAGCACTCATGGTAAAAATCTTTAGTTCAACACCAAATGCTTGGTTTATGGATATCTTGGAAAACATTCCGAGGTATAGAGAAGATGGACCACCATATTGGCTAATATTTGTCGGTCAAAACACAAGATACTGTGAAGCCATACCATTACAGTCCAAAAATATTTTAGATGTGAAAACTGCTTTGACAATATTCGTTGACAAATACCATCCAACAAAACTGACATCTGACTGTGAAAGTTCTTTCAAATCAGACGATATTAAAAACTATCTGCGTTCAAAAAAATGTAAACCAATATTTCATTGTCGACCAAAACCATTCTGCTCTTGGTGTCATTGACGGTTGTATAAAAATGTTAAGAGACTTAAATCAACCACAAGGTGGTGAAGCAAATGAAATGTCATATGACGACAAGTATAGACATTTCTCCATGGCAAAGATGAGACAAGTTTTAAATATTTACAATAGCCGTAAACAAAAAGGTTTGGGAAACCACTCCCCTGAAGAAATGAAAAACAACCCCGACTTAGAGAAAGACTATATATTTAATAGTTTAGTCAAAAGAGACAAACAAGAAAGAATGCCGGGCTTCAAACTTCAGAAAGGTGACAAAGTAAAAATAGAAATACCTAAACGCGACCATATGAAAATACTATTGACTATGACAACAATGGGAACTCGACAGGTACTCACATTCGTGTTCGTAAAAATAGAAGAAAGTATACAAGAGAATATTATGAAGTTTTAGGCAAACATGGCAAAATGTACAGACTGCAAGCAGAAGATAAAACTACTATTGTCAGACCTCGTTTCAAACTTGTTAAGGTTCAAGGTGGTATACTTTCAAAGACAGTTCCTAACAAATATAAGACAACTCCTGACGAATATGCTAAAGAAGTTGAAAATGACGACTAAGCATTTCTATACCATGCGTAAACTGTCATGTAAGGTGGCATGTAGTCTTTACTTTGTCCCGTTGTTTGCGTATACCCTGAAACGCGATGTGAATGGATTCCTCCTACATCAGTGTTACTCCAGTAACAATTTATAGCAAACTTAACGTCGTCTTTAACATCATATCCTTTACCTTTTGTCATTCCTGACCAATCCCAAAATCTATGACTATGCAAACCTGCTTCAGATGTACTTAAATTTATGTAGTGACTGTGTGCAGGTAAATTTGCACCTGAAATCGTTTTACTTCCACCTGTTTCCTTTGAAGAGTTTGCACAATACAAAAACCTGTCGACTATTTGAGTCCAAGTTCCAAAACCAAGTACTACTTCTGGTCTGGTAGAGTTCATTGACGTGTAAATAGAACCTATAGGATATACTGTTTGAAGTATTTCTGTCTTTAACGTTTGAAGCTCTGTTTTGTCAGCTTTTTTATCATATAAATCTTGAGCAGTGAATTTAACTTTTTTTTCATCCTCCATGACATAGACATTTCTACATCTAAGGTTTAACATCGTCGTTATGTTTTTATCCGATGTTAAACCTTCTGGAAAGTTAGGAGGTTTAAAATATAATCCACCCCCACCAGTTTCTTCAATCGTTCCTAAAATACTTTCTATACCAACAGTTGAGAAGAAGGTATGTGTATGTCCAACGTCACTTTTCCTGTTTAAGGTTTCTTGTAAGTTTGTAATATTTGCAATGGTATGTGTATGGTTCTTATCCGCTTTGTCATCTAACATTGCTGGTAGTTCATCTACGTCATAGATGTTATGTGTATGATGTTTTTGTGGGTATGTTCTATCTGTCCATGCGAAAATATAGTCTTTTGTTGCATCTACATACTCTTTGTCAGCTTTCTTTTCAACATCCTCTTTTGTTGCATATGTTGCATCTGCTCTGTCATGTTCTTCTTGAACTTTTTCAATGACATACTCTTTGTCAGCTTTGTTGTCAATATCTGCCTTCAAAAGAAGTTCATCTATAGGTTTCTCGTTTAAAGTTCTTTTTGTTGGATTTATACAAACAGTATGGTTCTTGTTGTCTTGAAACAGAAACTCGTCTGTCATTGGGTTTAATGTCAGTTTTAAGTTTCCTTTCTTTCAATGACTCAGATATCTTAGAATAGTTTTGAAAAGTTTGTTGTGTTCTTATTTAGAGCTTGCAAAATGAGTTGTCGGTTGTGTTGTATTTCTCTCATAGACGCTGTTTCTTTCGACATTTTTTATTCTAGATAAAATATGCTTTCAATAGAAAAAGAAAATTCAAGAGTTGCTACAACTAAACCATTAGATGAACTTTTTACGAATGTCGGTCAAAAGTTTGAGACAGAGACCGTAAAGCATGAAGGCTATCGTTTTGACTACCCACTAAGATGGTTAAGAGACCCATCCGTCACAAAAGCTGTTGGCTTTCGTAGAATGAAGTTCATTTCAGAAGCCATACATGGTTTCCCATTTACGGTCGCTTTTGAAATTCGATACTATAACAAAGAGAAACGTACGTATGAGAAATTTGAACAGGGAAAACTTTTACAAGTTAGTTTGCTTGTAAACTTAGAAACAACTCTTCAAGCTTTTCAAGAAAAAATAAACGATATCTATCTCGAATATGCAAAACAGTACAACATTGACGAAGGAGAGTACCATCTCGATATTATATATGACAGGAAAAATGCAACTGTTAAAATCAATAGAATAGAAGACCTTGGAGAAGACGTTTATATTTCTACAAAATATAACAACTTGGCATGGTATAGATTTTTGAGGATGTTAAATCAGCCTGCAGAATATCCAGTACACCCGAACTTTTATGAAGTCGAAAACCCTAATGGAACATATGAAAATGTTTTCGACTCAGATGCTATTATAGTTCATGCTTCATTTTCTGGTGCACAAAACTCTTTTTTATGCTTGGCAAATGACTTTTACGAAAAACCTACAAAGCTATATGAACCACCAAGTGGAAGTATTTCAGACTTTCAAGTATGGTTTACTACAGATGGAAGAAAGAGAATAGTTCCATTATACCATGCGTTTTACTTAGAACTTAGTTTCATATACAACTACTATCGAACGGTAAAAATATAATTTTAATACGGTTGAGTGTTGGTTGGATTTGGTTGCCAACTTGACTGTGGTGCAGGTTCAGGCTGTTGTATAACAGGAGCTTGTTCTTCTGGTTCAGGGTCTTTAGGTATAATACCAACAAACTGACCTACTCTTTTACCAATATTTTTGACTCCGTTCCAAATTCCTCTTCCGACAGATTTTATTCCATTCCATATACCTCTTCCAACATTTCGAAAGAAGTTTCCTATTCTTCCAAAGAAACCCATTTTACTATATGTAAAAATCTAATGTCCGCCTAGTCTCTTACGTTTCCTTCTGAGTTCCATTGCATTCTTTAACTGGAGCTCATACATTCTATTTCTCCTCTGGTAGAAAACATACTCTGGGTCAACTCCTGTGTTCGCGTCATCTGCATAGAGTTGTTTATATCCCACTTCAGGGTTTGTATAAAACTCTTTCCATCTCATATTTGCATACCATGGTGGTAAGCCTAACGCAGCGTCATTTGACATGGCAGTTTGCATTTGTACATCTGTTGGCACTTGACCATAGTTTGCCATTGCAGTTTGTATTCTAACTTCATTTGGAATATTCTCTGGGTTTGGTTGTCCAGGTTGCTGTGCATTCGCTAAGTTCTGTGCGTCCATTTTAATATTAGATAAAAATATCTCTTACGAGTACATATGCTGAACATTTGCAGACATTGGTTCATCTTCATATTCTCTATATCTTTCTGCCACGTCAAATAAGTAAATGACACAATGGAAAAAACCTAAAACAAGTAGTCCTATTTCAAACCACATTTACTTACCAATAAAATTTCTTTGTTATGACACTTTTTCCGGTTTATAGGACCTCTCTCATATTCTATCTTATCGTATCTAAACTCATAGTCATGTATATCCTCTAACCATCTCATAACGGTTTCCAAACCACTTTTATCGGATGTAAAGTAAAAGCATGGATGGTTATGTAAAACGTCTAAAGTTTCTAAAGAGTCTCTCAAAGTCCAGTCTACTTGGTATTGAAAATCATATGTGTTATAGAACGGCGGGTCTACTATAAAGAAAACATTTTCCTTGTCTTTATATTTTTCATACAACTCTGTCCAATGACATCTCACAAACTCTATACCCTCAGTATATTTTTCTATGTTCTCTTTGAAAACCTTTGTATAGTTAAGATATAAAACGTTTGACATAAGTGTTTCAATGTCATGAACTCTTATAGAACCACTATACAATAGTCTAGAAGATATACTATCCCAGTCAATATACTCTGCTTTTTTCAAAACCTCTCTGACAGTATTTTCTTATCTAATGGTATACGTTCCATCTTACCTATAGGTATCTTTTCTTTCAACTCACTCAATATTTTGTTTGTGTCTGGTATATGTTTGAGACGGTTCATATAGTTGTCGAAGTCATTGCATATAATCTTTGAGTCAGGAAATACAGTATGGCACAAATGAGATATATAGAAACTTCCACCGAACAAATCTACAAATGTTAGACCATTCGGTAGTTTCTTAAGTTCTCTCAATAGAATATCTTTACATCTACTCTTATTTCCAAAGAAGGGTAACGGTGGTTTTGTAAAATTCATTTTATATATATAATAAAAATGTTTTTTCCTGAAAAGTGACAGAAAAGTGACTGGGGCTAGAGGGCACGAAGTGCCTGGAAGCCCCAATACCTTTTTTTTTTATTCAGATTCTACGTTGATAATAATGCTTATAGAACCCTCTTGCTATTGTGTCAAAATTGCGAAACCGATAGCAAAAATATCTCGCAATATCAAAATTGAGATATTGAGTGAATTATGCATTATAGAGATTAAAAATCTGATTTGTGAAAACATCTCATCAGTTTCTAGCTAATTCAAAAATCTTTACTATCTTATTCGATTAAAATGAAAAGGGAATAGTTTCATTATGCTTTAAATGACAGCCTTATAATATATCATAGTTTTCGCTCAATATGCAGCATTTTTTTTCGAAATCTATGGTCAATATCCTAAATACTGATTGCTTTGCATTCATATCTCTTACATTTTCTATACCCACATCACTATTCATTGCTATTCCTATCTTTTTCATTTTTGTTTGTTTCTCATAATTTCTCAAAAAACACGATAACTTGATATTTGTAAATATCATACTTTATAACGTAAATAAGAACTTGACCTATTAAGAAAAGCAGTAATGAAAAGAAAATCTGAAATTCATAAAAATTACAAGTTTCTGATGACAATTAGCTTAATTAAACCAGGTACAAGATTATATAATTGTATTTTCTATCCAATTATCCATATAATATCTTATCCAGAAAAAAATAACTTGATCAATACCAAATGATTTTTTAACTAGTAAATAAAGTATTTTCTTTACACACACATTGTATATCATAGTTTTTTTTTGGTTTCGCAAAACATCCAAAAACAAATATGCTATAAAAGTGACAATTTTAGCAAAACGAAACCCTTATTTGAATAGATAATTAGTATTAAACTCAAATAACTAGTTTATTTTTGAATAAAAATTATTTGAATTTATTCAATTTTGTGAATTTTCCTTCAAAAATCAAGTTTAAATATCTTATTTGGCATATAATTATAAATACAATGAAACATATTCGAAATTGAAAAGAATGACTTTTTCTGTTCTTTCAATCATTCAATTTGAATTTTGCAATATTGGATTTCTCATTAAATAGCTATTAAAAACAACAAGCAATTTAACTTACTTTCAAATTTATTTGTGTTATATTCACTCTTCTCAAAACTTATAATTTTCGGCTATAGCATGATTATATGCTATATAATATAATTAACCTATAATAGTATCATTCTTTCAATTATTTGAAGAGAAAACCGAAAAAATCTATTTTCGGTCTATAACACTTATATTTGAGAAGCTCAATTTGAGACCACTTAATACATTGAAATATCATAAATATTGAAATATTAAAAAGTGTATTTCAAAATATTGAAATTATAAAAATTTATAATACTGAAATTGAGACAAATTAATAAATTCAATGTCTTTTTTTTGAAATAACTCTCAAATATTATTTTTTTGTTTATTTAATGATGAATAAATATGATTGCTTTAGTCAATCATAAAAACTAATTTAAGTTTAAAATAATGAAAAGATAATTTGATCGTTTTTTAAAATACAATTATTTTTGATGATTTGCAAGAATCTTTGAAAAGAATATAATATAGTTTCTATTTTTGTAAAATTTATCCAAATCATGTATTACCTAAATTACGATTAAATCGATGAAAGAACCAAAAAGTGTGTTTTGTGTTTTGTTGTTGCGTATTGGATGCGGGATCCTGTTATTTCCCAAATCGACAAGAAATTTGGAAATTTAATTTCCGAAATCGAAATTATATTAATGTTTTTAATATTCTTATATCAAAAGGATTAAAGTTCATTAAGAGAAAAACAATTCTTCTTCTTCAATCTATTGGCGCATTTATTTCTACACGCCAATAAGGAAGGGAAAATTATAAGACACCATGGTGTCTTCAAAACGCTAATTTTTGATATTTTTAACAACCCTAGAAAATTCCCTTTGGCATGACATCTTTTATTTTGACTATCATGCTTTAAAATTTGTTTAGATGATTAAAATGCTTTATATTCTGGAACCGCATTATGTAAATTTTTCTGTCATCGTGTTCTCTTCATCATATTGGAGTATTTACGAGATCTATGAATACATAGACAAATGGAATGAAAGGTGATATTTGAAATTGAGTCCAATTCGATTAGGTATATTTCTGAAATGGTGCGATGCATAATGATGATTTTCCGATTTCAGGGATTAATATATATCATCAACATGCTTTATGATTAATAGAGGGAGAAATTAAGTAAACTGAGAGGAATTTTTGCACAATTCTACCATCACATGCTTATTCTAATGATTATTTTCATAATAAATTTGATAATCAACTATTTTTCCTATCAAATCTACTATATCGAGTTTTTTTCAATTGTATTACAATATAAAGAATTGCATTGAACGATATACTCAAGCATATAAATATAGATTTATCAATGTTGATTGGAAATAATGCTTTAATGGAAGAAATATAAACACAATTTCGCCAATAAATGATATATAAGAATTAATTGTGAAACAAATTGTATATTTATATATATGCGACCATGAATAACACAATGATTTTTCCTCAATCCCCAAATGAAAATTTCATGATATAATAAAAATTTAAAAATAAATTAAATAAATGACAATTTTAATATGAAAATATGAAGAAAAGGAAAATTTGGAATTATCAACATGATTTATATTTGAAGTAGATGCTAATGAATCAAATTTGGTATCTGTAGATTTTAATTATTTTGGCTCAATAATTATAAAAAATTAAATTTTAAAACTCCTTGATTGCAGTTTCAATCCAGAAAATATTATTGTTCAAATTCCAATGCTATTAATCCACGCTAATTGAATTTGCTCATTTTCACACTTTTCCATATCATATGTAGTATTAAATAGATAGTGATATGCCATAATCAATAATTTGAAATTGAAAAGAATGTTTATGAAGTCTAAGATTCCGAACGATACAAGTTTGAATAATTTTCCTTATTGTATCGTTTTAAATTTTTGATAGGTAACTGTAGTCATTTGAGATTATCGATAAAGTGAACAGATATGAATTAAAACATTATGCATGATATCGTATATATTTCTTATAAATTTGTGATCAGATCAGCTGTCAGATTTTCAAATGCAATTAAATCATAATAATACACTAAAATATTTGGTATTTAATGAAACTTGCACGTTTCAAGCAGTTTTGGAATGCAATCATCCGAGCACTTTCATATACATATGCTTAATGATAGTTTTAATTCTTCCGTTTTATTTTTATTCGGCAAAGATGATGAGAAGACTTAAATTTCAACTCAGAAATCAATTCATGCCTGGACTATTTTATGCCTTTGCAACAGGAATCTACAATGTCTGATATTGGTACGATCAATATGTTTTATTTTATGATTTCCATGAAGAGGATGATGATTTTTATAATAGATCTAAGGGCATTTGGGACGAAATTGCTAAACTTGCATTTGTTATGTTTTTACACCAGATTGCTACAGTTTTGATTGCATTTAATATTAAATGGGCAAAATATCTGAAATATTTCAATATTATATTCTTTCTGATATATTTGTTGCGCTGTTTCGGTCAAATATTCTATACAATCTCAGGGAAAACAAAAAATAAAATAATTCAAACACTTCTTCATGATTCTGGTATATTTTATCGACTATTTTATAATTTTTTATATTTGTACTCACTAGTTCTTCTTAATATTTGTTTTGTTTTATCAAATATCAAAGATTTTATTCCAAAAAAGTTCCACATTCCAATTTACCTTTCAATATTCTTTTTCGTTCTTGGTCTTTTGGTGACTACTGGAGCAGACACATTTTATGAATCTAATATCATCTGGAGATATTGGTTTAATAAACGAAGTAAATTAAATTATATAAAATTAGCAATACAGATAGTTCTTAACTTCTGTTTAGAAATACCAACGTTGATTATTTTATGAATTTTATCCTCAAATGATTTCGATGAAGAAGATGACACAGCATCATCCATGATTTCATATGCAAGCTTATTAGAAGATTGATCATATAAATTATATATAATTGTTGTAAATTTAAATTAAACATGCATTTCTTACAAATTTTTAAACATATGTTTCGTTCATATTGAATACTGATGTAGCTTTTTTTACCAGACAGCTAATTTTGATTCTATTTTGAAGGAATGGCTAAAAACATTTGAGACCGTCAAGATTGAGAGATCCGATAATTTTAAGGTTTCCACAATTTTTTGAATGAATAAAATTTATATTGTTGAACATTCAATCTAATGCACAAATCTATAATTTTCATTGACTTATTGTAAAGCTTTCAATTTGGTAAAATTTTTTTATGTTAAATCTCACTCTCCTGACAAATATCACAGCATCTAGCTCGGTTTGCCAATTTCAGACATATGGCTACTGTAAACATCCTAGTACATTAATATATTTCTGTGTAATGATAGCTCTAACTTTACCGTTTTATTTTTATTCAGCAATAATGATTAGAAGATTAAGATTCCAATTACGTAATCACTTCATGCCAGGGCTGTTTTATTCATTTGCGATTGGAATTTACCTCGTATGGTATTGGTTTGATCAATACGTTTTTTATTACTATATTCATCATGAAGTTCATGATTATTTTTATTATTTGCGGGGTATTTGGGAAGATTTATCAAGACTTGCGTTTATAATGTTCTGTAATCAAATTGCTTCGGTTTTACTTGCATTTGATATTAAATTTGCAAAATTCTTGAAGTACTTCAATTTGATATTCTTTTTGATATATCTAGCGCGTTTATTTGGTGAATTTTTCTTTGCAATCAATGAAAAAACAAATAAAAAATGGCGAAATAGTCCTTTCTTTAAGGACCATGGTCTTATTTATGAACTACAATACGGATTTTTATTCACTTATGCATCAATTCTACTCAATATATGCTTTGTATTATCAAATGTCAAAGATTACCTTCCAAAGAAATCCCATACACCGATATACGTTTCAATTTTTGCTTTTATTAGTGGAATATTTGTACTCTCGGAATTAGATGCTAAATACGACAGCAAAATTGTATTCAGGATTCAATTTAAGAGTATGAGCAAATTAAATTATATCAAATTGATAATAAAAAAAGGTAGTGGGGCTTCCAGGCACTTCGTGCCCTCTGGCCCTGAAGATGTTTAGTATAAATGAAGTTTATATTCGGAGGGCTTCCAGGCGCGTTGCGCCCTCTAGCCCCGAAGATGTTTAGTATAAATGAAGTTTTTATTCGGAAAATTGTTAGTCTTCTGGTGTGAATTCGGAGGACTCTTCTTGGATAGAGTCTTGTATTTCCTCCTCCATTGCTTCTGGGAAGAAGCCTTCTTCTGGGTCGAAAACATTATATAATGTTTCACTTTTCACAAATTATATATGTTTTCATGCTTTGTCACTTTTCTGTCACTTTTCGGGTAAAAACATTTTTATTATTATATATAAATGAATTTTACAAAACCTCCGTTACCGTTCTTTGGAAATAAGAGTAGATGTAAAGATATTCTATTGAGAGAACTTAAGAAACTACCGAATGGTCTAACATTTGTAGATTTGTTCGGTGGAAGTTTCTATATATCCCATTTATGTCATACAATATTCCCAGACTCAAAGATTATATGCAATGACTTCGACAACTATATGAACCGTCTCAAACATATACCAGACACAAACAATATATTGAAAGAGTTAAAAGAAAAGATACCTATAGGTAAGATGGAACGTATACCATTAGATAACAAAAATATTGTGAGAGAGGTTTTGAAAAAAGCAGAATATATAGACTGGGATAGTATATCTGCTAGACTATTATATAGTGGTTCTATAAGAGTTCATGACATTGAAACACTTATGTCAAAAGTTTTATATCTTAACTATACAAATGTTTTCAAAGAGAACATAGAAAAATATATTGAGGGTATAGAGTTTGTGAGATGTCATTGGACAGAGTTGTATGAAAAATATAAAGACAAGGAAAATGTTTTCTTTATAGTGGACCCGCCGTTCTATAACACATGCGATTTTCAATACCAAGTAGACTGGACTTTGAGAGACTCTTTAGAAACTTTAGACGTTATACATAACCATCCATGCTTTTACTTTACATCCGATAAAAGTGGTTTGGAAACCGTTATGAGATGGTTAGAGGACATACATGACTATGAGTTTATATATGACAAGATAGAATATGAGAGAGGTCCTATAAACCGGAGAAAGTGTCACAATAAAGAAATTTATTAGTAAGTAAATGTGGTTTGAAATCGGATTGTTAGTTTTAGGTTTTTTCCATTGTGTCATTTATTTATTTGACGTGGCAGAAAAGTACAGAGAATATGAAGATGAACCAATGCCTGCAAATGTTCAGTATATGTACTCGTAAGAGATATTTTTATCTAATATTAAATGGACGCACAGAACTTAGCGAATGCACAGCAAACTGGACAACCAAACCCAGAGAATATTCCAAATGAAGTTAGAATACAAACTGCAATGGCAAACTATGGTCAAGTGCCAACAGATGTACAAATGCAAACTGCCATGTCAAATGACGCTGCGTTAGGTTTGCCACCATGGTATGCAAATATGAGATGGAAAGAGTTTTATACAAACCCTGAAGTCGGATATAAACAACTTTATGCAGATGACGCGAACACAGGAGTTGACCCAGAATATGTTTTCTACTAGAGGAGAAACAGAATGTATGAGCTCCAGTTAAAGAATGCTATGGAACTCAACAGGAAACGTAAGAGACTAGGCGGACATTAGATTTTTACATATAGTAAAATGGGTTTCTTCAGTAGTATTGGAAACTTCTTCAGAAGAGTTGGAAGAGGTATATGAAATGGAATAAAATCTGTCGGAAGAGGAATTTGGAACGGAGTCAAAAATATTGGTAAAAGAGTAGGTCAGTTTGTTGGTATTATACCTAAAGACCCTGAACCAGAAGAACAAGCTCCTATTATACAACAGCCTGAACCTGCACCACAGTCTAGTTGGCAACCAAATCCAACACCTCAACCGTATTAAAAAATTATATTTTTACCGTTCGATAGTAGTTGTATATGAAACTAAGTTCTAAGTAAAACGCATGGTATAATGGAATTATTCTTTTTCTTCCATCTGTAGTAAACCATACTTGAAAATCTGAAATACTTCCACTTGGTGGTTCGTATAACTTTGTAGGTTTTTCGTAAAAGTCATTTGCCAAGCATAAGAAAGAGTTTTGGGCGCCAGAAAATGAAGCATGAACAATAATAGCATCTGAGTCGAAAACATTTTCATATGTTCCATTAGGGTTTTCGACTTCATAATAGTCCGGGTGTACTGGATATGCTGCAGGCTGATTTAACATCCTCATAAATCTATACCATGCCAAGTTGTTATATTTTGTAGAAATATAAACGTTTTCTCCAAGGTCTTCTATTTTATTGATTTTAACAGTTGCATTTTTCCTGTCATAAATAATATCGAGATGGTATTCTCCTTCGTCAATGTTAAACTGGTTTGCATATTCAATATAGATATCGTTTATTTTTTCTTGAAAAGCTTGAAGAGTTGTTTCTAAGTTTATAAGCAAATTAACTTGTAAAAGTTTTCCTTGTTCAAATTTCTCATACATACGTTTTTCTTTGTTATAGTATCGAACTTCAAAACCGACCGTAAATGGGAAACCATGTATGGCTTCTGAAATGAACTTCATTCTACGAAAGCCAATAGCTTTTGTGACGGATGGGTCTCTTAACCATCTTAATGGGTAGTCAAAACGATAGCCTGCATGCTTTACGGTATCTGTCTCAAACTTTTGACCGACATTAGTAAAAAGTTCATCTAATGGTTTAGTTGTAGCAACTCTTGAATTTTCTTTTTCTATTGGAAGCATATTTTATCTAGAATAAAAATGTCAAATGAAACAGCGTCTATGAGAGAAATACAACACAACCGACAACTCATTATGCAAGCTCTAAATAAGAACACAACAAACTTTTCAAACTATTCTAAGATATCTGAGTCATTGAAAGAAGGAAACTTAAAACTGACATTAAACCCAATGACAGATGAGTTTCTGTTTCAAGACAATAAGAACCATACTGTCTGTATAAATCCAACAAAAGGAACTTTAAACGAGAAACCTATAAATGAACTTCTTTGAAAGCAGATGTTGACAACAAAGCTGACAAAGAATATGTAGATGATGCAATAGCAAAAGAAGAAGAAAGAGCTAACAATGCTTATGCAACAAAAGAACATACTCATCCTGAACTAGCAGACAAAACATATGTTGACAATAAAATGTCAAGTGAAGTGACAAGAGCTGAAAACGAATATTCTAAAAAGACTCATATACATTATATTAACCAAATACCAAGTCTTAAAGGAAACATTAGAGACAAAAGCAGATAGACTCATACACATTCTATATCTGATATTACAAAACTTACAAGAAACCTTAAACAGGAAAAGTGACGTTGGACATACACATACCATTGCAAATATTACAAACTTACAAGAAACCTTAAACAGGAAAAGTGACGTTGGACATACACATACCATTGCAATATTACAAACTTACAAGAAACCTTAAACAGTAAAAGTGCCGTTGGACATACACATACCATTGCAAATATTACAACTTACAAGAAACCTTAAACAGTAAAAGTGACGTTGGACATACACATACCATTGCAAATATTACAAACTTACAAGAAACCTTAAACAGGAAAAGTGACGTTGGACATACACATACCATTGCAAATATTACAAACTTACAAGAAACCTTAAACAGGAAAAGTGACGTTGGACATACACATACATCTTCTGAAATAACAGACTTAAACGTTAGCCTTGAAAAATAAAGCAGATAAAACATATGTCAATGAAATATACCAAAGTTTGATAGGAACAAAAAAATATTGAAACTATTGTTGGTGACTTTTCTGTCAATGAAGAAAATAAATATTTAGATGACAGTTGGTACAGTCCTTAGAAATGGTACACGGTATAAAACTCATTCCGAAAAATAACAATGAAATGTATGTAAGCTATAAAAAGAATGATGGTACACAAGTTAAAGTTCCATTAGACAACAACTGCTACTTAAACTTATATGGAGACGAACAAAAGAAATATTTAAGAGTTTATGAAATGGCAGATATGACATTGCCTGACCCAGCTCCAGCACCATATTATTATGACTATGGAGATGACGACAGAACACCACATGTAGATGAACAAAAGCTAACATTATATTTAGATTATTATAGATATAAAAGATATAATGCAATAGAAAAAACGAGAATAGTATATTATTATACAGATGACAGAAATAAATATTATAGTCAAGATTTTACCTACCCTGAAAACATAAGATTATATTATAAAAAATATTCTGACACAAACCAGAAGAAACCTGAAATAGTTGTGTAATAAACAGAAATTCATCAAAAGTGACAGCTCTCAATTTTTTGACATTTGTAAATTCTAAATTGAATGAGAAAAATGAAATAATACTAAGCATAATACAATATTCTAGATTTAATTATAATTAAGAAAAAGTTAGTTTTGAGAGTACTTTTCATAGGCATATAGAATGAAATCTTCTGAAAAATAATATCACATAAATTCATATTATTTTCTAATATATAACTATTTTATATAAAAATCAAATTCAATGATCTTAAAAGCGAAGGATAAACCTCAAAATTTACGAATATAATGAGTGGGAATATAATGCTTATCTATCATAAAACCATATGAAATATCAATTTTTGCTTTACGCCTAATTTTTGACGACAATTAGCAAAAAATGTTAAATGTTAACACTCAGTCCATTTGAATATAAAAAAAAAAAAAAAAAAAGGTATTGGGGCTTCCAGGGCTGCGCCCCTCTAGCCCCCTGAAGGTGTTTAGTATAACATGCAGTTTATATAAAATGAGGTTTTTTGGGGATAGCGGGCTTCCCAGGCACTTCGTGCCTTCTAGCCCTAAAAATTTTTGAAAGTCGTTGCTGTTGACTTGTTTGTAGAGCACTCAAAATTTTAACTTTGTCCGGACAAGTAAGGGTCTATCGTCGCTACGTCACCAAGGTCCTCGGTCCCTCGGTCCCTCGGTTAACGAACTTCTCTGAAAAAATGAGACAACATGACATTTTGACAACAGTCCAGGAAATCTTAACAATATAGAATATGAGAGAGGTCCTATAAACCGGAGAAAGTGTCATACAAACATCTGTCAAAAGCCGCTTTTTAACTTCACTTAAAATGCCACGTAAGCTACGTAAGAATATACGTAAGAGGAAGAGAGCATTGAAACATCCAATAGTAAGACTGACACCACAACAACAGTTGCAACAACAAATGCTGAATGACCCCACTATGTTGCAACAAATGTCAAGCAATCCTATGCTTTTAAACCGAGTTGTTGGTGCACAGAGTGGAGGTTTAAGAGCGGCACTTTTAGCGAAAATGGCAGGCTATGGTGGAGCTGCAGACGGAACAGCCTATAACCCTCAAAGTCAAATGAATTTGAGTTCACTCAAAAATCAAATAGCAGATGTCAAAAAGTCAAACATAGACATACAGAAGCAAATAGGTGAAAACGAAAAGAAACTAGAATATGACAGACACACAAAGAAACTAAATGAGTTAAACGTAGAGAAAAAGAAGAAAGAAGAACAACTGAAAGAACTAAGTACAGAGCAATATGCGAAAAAAGTGTCAGAAAAAGCAGCAGAAGTAGCAAAAATGGAACAAGATGTTTTAAATTTGAAAAACCATACTACTCAATATAAAGTACTGAAAGATGAAGAGATAAAACAAAAAGCCCTGAAGACATATATGGATAGCGATGAGTATAAAAAGGAAGTTGAAGCAAATGTAAAGGCAGAAAAACTTTTACAGTTGCAAAACCAAACCGTACAGTATGAAAACTTAGCACAAGAAAGTAAAAATAACGACGCAGCCATGCAAAAGGCAATGAAAAGCGCAGAATATATAAAAGCTAACAATGACTGGTTAGATGCCCAAGCCAACGCTAAAGCAGCCCAGCTTATAGGGTCAATAAGGACAAAAATACAAGCGGATGAAGACAGTTCAAATGAAGCTTTAACGAATGCTGACTTTAAGAACGCCTTCGAAGCTCTTCATAGTAAGGTGAAACAAGTGAACGATTTCTCATCTGGAAAGAAACTGAAGTCTGAAGGTTTCGACAAAGAGTTAAAGAAGTAGCACAAAATATGACGAAAATAACAGATGCAGCAACGAGACAGGCAGTTCAAAGTGCCTATGACGCCGTTAGAGCAACTGTTGTGAAAAGTCAAGAAAAAGAGTTACAACAGACCAAAACAGACCTAGTAAATGCTTTCTTAAGAACGAAAAGTCAGGTAGGACATTACGCTGCAGATGGAACATATGTGCCAGCTGGTGGAACTTATATACCAGCTGTTGGAATTTATATACCACCAAACCCTCCAAGAGAAGCACCTGCACCAGGACTACCTAAAACATTTACATCGTCACATGGACATAGACACAGGCATGCACCAAAACCAACACAACAACCAACACAACAACCAGCACAACAACCAACAGTTCAAAACCCTGCACAACAACCACCTCCACAACCAGCACAGCAACCAACAGTTCAAAACCCTGCACAACAACAACAACCACAAACAGAGCAAGGACATAAAAGAAGTAGAGAACAAGGAAACCAAGAATTCTTAAAAATGCTTAAAGAAGAGTGTGGTTTCCCAGATAGTATTGACTTTAGTGACAGATATAAAGAAGCTATTAGAAAGTTCAAGGATGGAAATACTGACCCGAACCTATTTAGCTTTATGGCTCTGCACCAAAGGGGATATAATCTCAAACCTGGAAAATACAAGCTCGCTAAGGGATATGATTTAATAGCATATCATCCAAATGACATGAACGAATTTACTCCGAGATATTTGATGTCAGAGCTAAATGACAATTTAACTCTCTTCATGAAACGCGTAAAAAATAGAGACGGAACGAAAGAAGAAAGGTTTGTGAGTCCGGATGACTTAGAAAGGAACTTTTTAAAAACGGTCTCGGAATATATGAAATGCCAGCAGATGAGGTACAAGAAACTCCACAGGAAGAACTAGTTCAGATACAACCAGACATGGAAGAAATAGTTCAGCAACAACAGCTAGAAGAGCCTGAAGGAAACGAACAAGTCACTCCTTTGGAAACTAACTTCACAGAACTAGATGAAGATTTGGAACAGCCGAAAAATCTTGACCCTCAACAAGAGTATGCGGAGAATATGGAATATTTCCAAGAGTCTAAAAAAAATTCGGCTGACATAGTAGAAGAATATCGAAAAATGTTTGCCGACATACAAAAGACTCCAACACCAGATGAAAATATTCAGCATAGAATGGAAGTACTGAAAGAAAATGTACACAAATACAACAACCCTTTTTACTTACGAGCATTTAACGTTCAATCTTCGATGAACTCGGTGAAGATAAAAGGTTAAATTTCAAGAAAATATAGAAATGAAACATTGTTTAAAGTTCATTCAGAACCTAGCCAAGATGGAAACAAACCTACTTTTGTTTCTGCAGACGATGGAACTACAATGAGATGGGGTCATAAAGCTAACCCGGATAGGTGGTTCATAAACTTACAACCACAATTCCAAGAAGTTGTAGACGCAATGGAAGTCAATGGTGAACCAGATATAGCTGGTATTTTAAGCGCGGCTTTAATGCCATTGAAAGATATGAAACATGCAGATATTTTGGACCAGTATGAAATGAACATGGCTGATGGAAATATAACACCTGACGTTCTAGAACATTTATCTCAAAGAACTACACAGAACCATAGAGATGGTATATTTGGTGAAGAGTTTAGAAAGAAAGTTAGGGAGGGAGAAGGAAGAGAACCTATTGTACATGACCTTGCAAACGAAAGTTTGCAAAATGTCATAAAAACTTACTTTGCAGACAATGAACTGAGAAGGGATGAATATTTAAGAAAACTCAAATGGACAGTACCAAATGAAATGTTAGTATTGAAAAACATGTTCCTTGACAAAATAAAACCAACTACAGAAATAAACGACGCAAGACTGAAAGATTGGGTAAAAGCTTTCCCATTCACAAAAGATATAGTTGGTAACATGGAAAGAAAACCAGAATGGCTACAAAAACATATATTTGGAAACGAGCATATTCCATATGGACAGGCACTGTTTGAAGAGCTTGAACCGGAAACTCAGGACAGAGTCATGCAAACAATACGCGACGACTCAAATACAAACTATGACAAACTCTTTCTAGGATATAGGTTACCTGAGATGGGCGACCAGAGCCAAAAGGCAAAAAGGGCATGGAAAATTTCAACATACTAGATGAACATGAGGCAAAGATGCAACAACTTGAAGCAGAGGGCAAGTTACCAAAGCGACCCAAAGAAGAAGAGTAGAACAAAGTGAAAGTAGTGAAGAAGTAACTTCATCTAGTGAAAGTAGTGGCAATGAAGGAAAAAGAAGAGTTAAAACTCAGTCAGGAAGAAAGTAAAGCTTGGTCCACGTGGGTTCTATTATGACATATAAATCCAACTATTCTATATTTTTACCCATATGAAATGTACGCCGCTCAGAATATAACGCCAACAGTTTTGGATGCCATGAATGGAAATGTTTCCGAATGGTATAACGAATGCGACAATGCCATTAGAAGGTCAGAAATAGTTCCTGGAACTTACGAATATACAACTGCTGTTTCTTATGGAAACGTAGGTGAGTTTGGAGAAGGTTCTTCAACAACAGTAGATATTGCTTGCGACAGGTTTCATATAATTTCTATTGACAACTCTTTCTTATACGTGGAACAAGACATTGAAATAAAACCTTCTGCCAAGTTGTCTGACAAGAAAGGTTGCAATGGAATTTTCTATGTCGGATACCAATATGCTCCAGAAGTTTTCATGGGATATAAGATATATTCTAACTCTGACTTAGTTCAAACAGTAACATGGGCAAACTATGAATGGTTCGCTTTGAGAAACTCAGTACAACCACAAGCTAGAGAACAAACAGACCAGTATGCAACTATTGAGAAAATAAGAAGACTTGACCCTAACGTTCCAGGAGTTTATGTTGACCTTTCTGGACAAACTGCAGCAGCAGTAACCAAAGTAAAATTGAAACTTAGAGTTCCTTTGTCATCTTTCCTCATCTTCAGGTTTTTAAGATACTTGCCAAACTGGGCAGGAAAAATTTCTATCGAACTTACTCCAAGCAAAAATAACTTAGTCATTGCACCAACACAAGACCCATTCACTCTTACTGTAGCTGGAACTGGTGGAGCCAAGTTCTGTGACTTTTGCAAAGACAAAGTTGACTAAAGACTTTGGTTTCTCAAACCTCAACACTGAAGTAAACTACTACTTCAATGCTGCTGGAACTGCTTGGGACCCAGTTAAGTTCACATGCGAAAGTTTGAATGCAAGAGAATAGAAAGCAGACTTGCAGTCTATATGTTGGACCCAGATATTTCAAATGCTTTAGCTGCCAAATATATTGCAGTTCCACTTATGTTCCCTATACACCAAATATCTGTCAAAGACTTTGCAGGTGAAGTTGGAAACCAAAGTGCTGACCCAGGTGCAAGAACAGATATTGCCTTAACAACTGCAATGAAACATGCAGATACTATGTTTGTACTGTTCAGACGAACTATAAATGACTATTCTTGTTTCTACAACCCCGGTATTAAATATCATATAAACATAGATGGCAAATACTATCCAAGAGAAGAATATTCTACAGTTGAGGATATGAGGTCATACAACTTGACATTAGATGCTATGAACTTTAACAACAACTTCACAACAACCATTAACCCTGAAATGCAAAGTTCTATTATGCCATATGTGAAAGTATGGACTCATACAGGAGGTCAAAACACTCAATATACAAATGGAGACCGTTCAAACTTTTGGCTTGGCATTCCATTTGCTGACTCAGAAGACTTTATGGGTGGTATTTCAACTGTTGGTACAGTTCAAATACAATATACTGGTGACAGAGACGGTCCAGATGAATTGAAAGCAAAGAAGTTTACAAAACCAATAGCACTTTTCACGGAAGATGCTCTTTTGAAGATTCGTTCGATGAAACCTGCTGGGGCTCCTCAGATTGGTATAACGACAGCTTCCATCGAGCAGATTTTGGCAGCAGGTCAGTAAGTTGTTCTTGAACTGACTTCTCTCCGTCAAATATTGACAGTACGCCAGTTTTGATATAATATTGTATTATAAACTTACCTTTAGAAATATCGGTCAGTTTTGTTGTTATATTTTTGTCTGCTTCAAGAACTTTCACCATTTCGTTATACCAACTTTCTTTGCTTTATGAAAATATTTTGGTTCAGCAAAGACTGCTATTCTATAACATTTTCCATTGTTTGTATAAAGAACTATTCTGTCAATGAACTTGTATTGTTTGTGTGTGTAAACTTTGTTTTGCTTCAATTCGAAGAGATACTCAAATACGTCCATCTTTTTATTCTAAGTAAAATGTCATTTCCGAAAAATAGAAGCGTAAGTGTTTCAAAAGGTTTAATGGCGATGGCAGATGTGAAGTTAAATTCACCAACTCAAACAAACAGTCAAAGTGTTGTTGTCAATGTCAAAGAAAGAGATGTTGAAGTGGGGAAACCATACGAAGACGAAGATGGTATAACAATAGTTCCTGTAAAAGAACAACCAACATATCCTGAAGTTAGCAGAGACTTAAGTTCTGTTGCAGATATTCGAAACGACTACCAACAACTTAAAGACAAACTTAAAACTCAGGAGAAGATTTGTCAGGCTTTGGGTTAATGTTAAACTTGGTCGAACACAACCCTGTAAAAGTGAACTCATATGTCATTGCACCTCATGAAGTTTTGAAAGAACTATTGAAACTTTTGACAGAGGCAGACGATATAAACATCAAAGAAATAGAACCCGACATTGCTTGCTGTGGTGTTTCATATAATGTCATTGACAAGATATACGTTATGAAAGGAGGTGAAACGTTGAACTTAAAATATAGTTTCCCAGACGTCATAAAAATATTTGACGACCACAACATTTCATTAAAATTTACTTGCTAAGTAAATGGCAGAAGACATAGTGGTTTATACTATTACGACTAAAAACCCTGAGTCATATAATTCTATAACAACAAACTTACAAAGTCCTCAAGGACGATATTGTAAACTGACCTTAAACACGATGACGACTAAAGCCTGTTTTGCTCTTTTGACACCAGAAGACTTTGTTGTTGTGAATGGTAAAAAATACTCCTTTGAAGATACTTACTCAGATATACCACCAACAGGTTTTGTTGACTTATTTAATACTTTAAGGACGGATGTAACATGTGCTGCAACTAGAGCAGGTTTCATTATGTTTGGATGTCCGACTGAGTTTACTATAAACGATATGAGCTATAATACAAAACTTATATCTGGTTTTTACTACCAACAGTTTCCTATAACAGGAAAAGGTGTCATACAAGGTTTCTGTTCCATTGACTTTAAGTACACCTATTTTATATATTGTTTCAAACTTAGGTTCAAAGTGCTATTCGAATGTCGACAGAAACTACTATGACCAAAAGATACTCATGCGTATAAACAACACTTTCTCTGCTGGTTTGCCTATTGTTCATTCGAATGCAGAGTTTTCAGCTTTAGTAAACTCAAACACTTTAGCAAACATAAACTTAACCTTAGTTGACGCAAACTTTGTTCCTGTAAAACTTTTATGTCCTATGTATTTGTCAATGACGGCAGAAAGTTTCGAATTGGAAGATGCAACTGGTGAAAGTATTGTACTACAAGAACAACTTCAACAACAAATAGCTCAAGAACAACAAATGCAACAAATGGAACACAAAGTCAAGAATAAAAAAATATTTTTTTTTATTTTTATAAAAATGTACAGAATAGACGTTTCAGATTTTTATGACTTCCAAGCGTTCAGAAATATGTGTCCATTTCGAGACTATAACAAAGCAGTCGAGAATTTGAAACGTTTAGTCATTTATGTCGACTCTGCCCCAGAATGTTATGTCATGAAAGAATGGGATGTTCTTTAACAAACCAAGAGCGACAATAGTTTCAGAACAAGAATGTAAACAGAAACTTAAGAAAATAAAAGTCGTACAAGTTGGTATGAAGATGTTAGATGCTTGGGATATCTTATTGTCAAAGTTAGAAGATTTTTCAGTTCGTGGTATAAAGTTCTATACACCATCTCCAAACTTCTATTCTATCTTCACTGGATATAAATACGAACAAGTAGAATGGAAAGAAAATGTTATAGAAGCTTGGTTAGACCATGTCAAAGAAATTATATGCAATGGAAACGAAAGAGTCTATGAGTATATCTTATGTTGGTTTGCAAACATCTTACAACATCCAAGTGCTAAAAATGAAACTGCTCTCATCATAATTGGAAAACAAGGAACAGGTAAGAACACTTTCTTTACAGATATCTTATGCAAACTGTTAGAGGGCTATTCGAACCCGAATATGACAAACTTAGAAAACATCTGCGGTAAATTTAACTCTTCAATAGAGAATATGAAACTTATAGTATGTAACGAACTTCAAAGTATAGATACAACAAAAGTTTTGAACTCAGATGCTTTGAAGAGTCTTATAACAGACAAAGTTGGAGTTGTTGAAAGAAAATATAAAGACCAAAGAGTTTGTGAAAATGTTGCAAACTTCGTCATGGTTTCAAACAACGCCGTTCCGATGAAGTTAGAAAGTTCTGACAGAAGATATGTAGTTGTCAGAACGTCAGAAGCTCATATGCAAGATACAGAATATTTTGACGACTTAGCAGAAACTTTAACATCTGACTTTTACAACCACTTGTTCTCATATTTCATGACATTAGATATTTCTAAGTTCAATCCAAGACAAATTCCACATACCGAAGAGAGACAAACATTGTTAGAAGCAAACAAGAGTGTATATGAACTGTTCATAGATGAAACTGACTTTGAGTGTTTAGATGAAAGGTCATTGTACGATTCGTATAAACAGTATTGTCAAGAGTATGGTTATATGACAGCGTCTAAACGAACATTCTTGGCAAATGTCAAAAGTCTTTTAGACGTACAGAATGGTGTATATACAAAGAAAAATTTTTCTGAGTAAATTTTAAAAAAAATATTTTTTTTATCCGATAGAAAAGATGACGAAATTCATCTCAGTCAACAAGTACATGTCAGGACTTAAAGAAGAACTAGACCCATTCACATATTTGAATGTTTACTTCTACCATTTTGAAAAGTCTACATTTGACAAAGTTTGGAACATCGAACCAGTTAAGTTTGCTATTGTGACTAAAAATGGTGCGAAATTTGAAGACTTAGACATAGAAGGTTTGTTAACAGTCAAAGAAAGTTTTGACAGAAGGTTTCAAACCTTAAAGAAGGCAAAGCATACAAACTTGTTATACCTTATGAACCAAAGAAAGCAGACGACTATGAATATTATGAGTCTAAGATAGTTGAAGTTCAAGGTAAATTGGGTAAAAAGATTTTAGAGTCTAAGCCGGTGTTTGCTCCTAAAGAGGAAGAGAACATTGACATTGACCCAGAAATGTTCTAAAAATAAAATTTTATTTTTACATGTCAAATTTCTTTTTCTCTGGCTCTGGTTCTTTCTTCTCTTCTTCTACTTTCTTTTCTTTCTTTTCTCTCTTCTTCTTCTCTGGTGGAGTTATGTCAAACTTCTCAGAACCATATTTTTGTAAAAGTGCTTTGTCCTTTAATAGCTCTTCTATTCTGTTTTCTATTTCATTTTCAAGAACAGCGCATGTGTCTTCTTTGCATTCTAAGAAGTTTTGTTGGACTTCATCTCTCCAAGAGGCGTCATCTCTGTCAACAAGTCTGTCATTGACAAATTTTAAGACTTCTCTGCTTAAGGTTTTATGGTTCTTGTCATATTCCCAGAAACAGAACTTTAGAACAAATTCACCTTTCTTGTTTACACTATGTAAGATTTTATGGTCGACAGATGTTTTGCTGTCGAAAAGCTTGTCTCGAATATAGATAGCGAAATCGCTAGACATTTCCTAAAAGATAAAAATTTTAATTTTTCTAAAAATATGTTAGAAAAAAAGTTTGCTGACATTGACAAGAAATTTGAGAATGTTTTAAACAAG